ATTTAAATCAGAGGTGATAGGTTGAGCTGTAAAACAACATTTTATATTTACCATCACTTGAATGGAGCTGTATAACGTTCTATGGTTAGATATTCTGGTCCCCAAATCATACTTATATACTTTCATTATAAAAATTTAGAAGGCTTTATGAGATTATAAGTTCTCACAGCACTGAAGATGTCATTGTTTGACTTCATCTTCAGGGCATCCCTAAAGATGGAGGTACCACTTTCAGATAATGTTAAGTGCACAAAAACAACTTTCATTAGGAAACCGCAGCATCACAGGGATAAATTGTAGCAAGTCACTTGGAGGTGGTTATTAGTGTAGGAATGTCAAAATTGCGTGGTGGTAGTCGTTGCTATACAGTGGAAGCAGCTAGGTGGTGAATTGCAAATCCTTAATTGCTTGTTGCATTTGAACACTGAAATGAGGCCTTGCTTTGTCATGGTGAAGGTTGGCTTGTTTGTTATGGCTGCAAACGTTTCTGAATCTTTTCTTCAGCTACTTCTGTGTTTTAATACACAATGAGCTAACTTGATTGTTGTCCCTTTTTCCAAAAAGTCAGCTGGATCACATCATAAAGTATTTGTAACCAACTTATAAATCAGTTATTAACAACTGTAACATATTGATTTATTTTTCGATTTTTAAATTTACAGCACGTGATTATTTCCAGCTCCAAGCTTGTTATTAGTTACTCCAGCCCGCTCTTAGACTGTAATTCTTTAAACAGCTTACTGATCCCAGTTGTGTGATATCACAGATATTGGGACCTGAGACTGTTGTCTGAATGTAACAAGTTTGTGTATATAATATCAAAGTTTATGAAGAGTATAAATATTCTGAAAATGATATTATGGAAACTTCATTGTCCATAACTTTATATGTAACTAAAAATAAATGTATAAAATATATTGGTTTGGGTAATCAGATACACACCATTTCTCCATTGTTCTGTGACACTACACAAGGGTTGCACTTTATTTTGACTCTCTGGAATGTGACTTAATCAAGAACTGACTGTGTTTGGCTTAGAACTCATGTAATATAATTGTCTTTATATTGAGAACAGTTGGTGAAGCTCTGCAGTTCTGTATTTTTTGTAGTACAAGCAACAGTACATACAACACAAAGTTAGGAGCATTATTTTGTATCTTGATTTTCAGACAGAGCTGTAAGGGTTAACTATTTATTTGTTTATGTTTTATTTAACAACTCTGTCAGTAACTCAGAACATGTAACATCAAATGAATGAACTGAAAGTGCGATGCTTTTGAGTACTTACTTGCTTTCAGACATCATTTTGAAATGCAATGATACATTTAGATTAGAATTTAAATGATCATTCAGTGTAGAATATATATTCATCATGAATATGAAAGCAAACTAATCAAGCCAATGATGATTGTGATTGGTTAGATTTGAAATAAAATAATTGTTTACTTTTACTACAGGTAGTATCTGTAATTTTGCATTTAACTTAATGTAGAAATTATTCTTTTTACTGATAATATTATGTTGGTGTAAGATACATTGTCATAGTTGAAAATATAGAATGCATAGTGAATATTGGAGCCTGATATCTAGCTTAATTTCTGTAAGGAACAAGAATTGTTAACATAGTGTGATTATATGCTATATCTCAATTGGATATCTGTCTGTGTTTGTGTATTTACTTACTAATTTGAAGTATTATACTTTGTAGGAGGACAAGTCTTAAAACACTTATGTAAAAGGGATATTATTATGTTTACAGACAAAATGTTTCAAAGTACTTATCTACATTGTTTTCATAATAATCGATTGTCACATTTCACCACAAACTCATATGAAGTTGGTTCAGAAAGTTCCAGTAACAGATTCATTGTGGCAGTCATAGGTATGGAAATCAGAAAATAGTGGTGGTTTCATGAAAGAGCATCACTGGGAAATGTATGGTGTGCCAAACATGCCACATACTTTATAAGTTCGTCTGCTAAGTGGTGTTGAATTATTCTATTGGAAAGGCACTATCACCCATCAAGATGTCAACATTGTAGCGACCTGGCAGAACCAATGTGACAATAATGCCACACCTTTGATACTCGCCTGATCTCTTGCCAGACTTTCGCATCTTTAGGGTCATGAAATCTCAGCTGAAGGAATGGCATTTCAGTAGCGAGCATGATGTGAAACACTCTGAAGAGCATTCTGGAAAATTATTTCTAGCATTGCTTTCAAGAACTATACACACAGTTACAAATGTGTGTATTTGTCCAAGAACAATACTTTGAGCATGGTTTTATGCAATTTCAAAGTTGCATCACAAGTTGACATCAATATATCTATTATTTTAACTTTCTGAATCAACCTCATAAACATGTCAGAATTAAAATTGTACCATGCCAAGTGGGTGTCAGTTAAAAAGAAATTTAGGGAAGTAAGGCTTTCCTGGTTGTATCTGCTTGACTCTGAAGAAACAGATTACCATTGATTGGTTTACACAAAAGAAAGCAGTTGCTATTTCTTTTTTTATATATACAGAGTTTTCCTATTAAATGTTAACACAGTTTATTGACACTGAAGCATACAGATGTTAGTCTGTCTTTAGGGCATTTACCTTTCTGTGGCAAGTGTTCACTGTCAGTGCATTGTTAGCAACAATGCACAGCACATACACACTTCTAGGCATATTTCTGATGAAGTAATCATGCAAGGAAATTCAGTCCTACTTCTCACATTCTCCATCAGTACTCACTTCATTAGGTCACCCCACAATTTATGTCTGATGGCAGATTGGCAGATCAATGTGGATACTCTGCGCTTTCCGTACAGCTTATCCATCTTCAGGTAAATGATCTCACACACTGTTGCAGTAATGTGGTGGCAGTTAATCTTGCTGAACATAATGATCTTCATTGGTTCATGTTTTATCCATCCATATCATGACTTTCTTTTGATGACAAATATAAAGTGGATACATCTAAGGAGGAAAGGATTACTTTTCATTATGTGTGTGATAACTATTCACAGAATTCAAACTGATGATCTGAATCATTATCATACATTGTATACAGAAATTTTAATTTAACTTGTGCAAAATGCCATTAATACTGGTTTTACTTGCACAAGTCTCATAAGAACCCTGTGTTAAGAAATTTCTAGGGGATTGTATTACATTCTCAAATATTTTTATCGTCACTTCATATATGAGGCCTTCCAGATCACGTATTCACCTTGCACTCTTCTGTCTGCTTCAGATATACAGTATACATATTTTAGGAACACTCTGTATTTCCCATGATATTATTGTGGATACTTGTTACGAGCTCAACTGTGTTGGTATTGTACTTGAGTGTGAACTCAAAGTAGTACCAAATCTGCCTTAACAGTGAATGTGATTTGGCTTGAGATTGTGCCTCATTAGCAATACAGTTGGTATGTTATTTCCAATGGTGAGGTGTATTAATTTTGAAATGTGTTCAGAGATTTAATAAAAATGTTATTAAAATTATATTTGCAAAATTTGATTTGTATATATATAACTGTGAAATCAGTTCTAGAGATATAATTTTAAATACTATTTTATAGCTGCATATCATTCTTAATCTTGTATGAAACTTAATCCCTCATGTATGAGTGAGAGATGGCCTCCAAGGCAGCTGAGTTAACTTTTCGAGTTAAAAAGGATACATCAGTAGGGGAGACCTATGTGAAAAAGACTATCCAGATAAGATGGTCATTTCCTCTTACACACTTACCATTGATTTTATCAAGTAGAATAGGTGTCTACCACAGGTGCATTTGTATGTTGAGTTCTCACACAAATAGGATACGCTTATCTGCCATGCTACTTTTTTTTGTGACAAAGGTGATTCTTCAGTATCTCTATATAAAGTATGTACATAGTATTTTGCAGATTTTCATTTGGAACATATGACAGATATAACAATGGCTGAATAAACACAGACAGTAAGCTAAAACACAAGGGGTTAAACTGATATACATAGTTACATTTCTTCATCAACCTCCTTTACATAATGTTCATTTTCTTAAATAGGAGGCTGTTTTATCCAGGAGTTGAAAAAAGTTTACTTTTCAGGAAAACTTGAGTTAAAAAAATATTTAAGAAGTATATAGCATAACTGATCAATCATATTGATTCCCCCCCCCACCTCCCATGGTCAGCCCGACCATCGTGACCCCATCAGGGTTTTCTTGCGAAAGTACCACGGTGGTTTTGCCTTACCTTCCATGGCCAGTCTTTCTATCCTCCAGACTGGAAGAGGTTTACTATAGACATTCAGTAGGACTCCTTGGACGAAGGACTGGCCAGTCGCAAGGCCTCTACCTGTACACAGGACAGCACAATACAGAAAAACGCTGACTAACATCCATGGCTTGAGTGGGATTCGAACCCACGGTCCCAGTGACCAAGCGGCACAAGGCCCGCACCTCAGACCGCGCGGCCACTGCTACTCCTATATTGATCCTGGAATAATTTTAATATCTGTGATATTTGACAGAAACATAGTGTCATGTATACTGTGCTGTTATGTATCCGTCAACCTTCAAGAACAATTCTGATAATGATTTCTCAGCTGAAGTTAATTTGATCACTATAATTTCCTCTCAACTAACATCTATGAACTTTCTCCATTTTTAACCAATCATGGCTCCTCAGGAACATTAGGAATTCCTTTAAAAATCACATTGTGTAAAATAAACATTTCAACAATAATAATAACACAAAATTCCATTACTGGAATGTACTGGATCACATGCATAGAGTGCAATATTCAGTTGAGGTTGGGAAAACATGAAAGAAAAGTCAAACTCTTAACTTTTGTTCACTGCGTAGACTTAAATGGACACAAAACATTGTTTTGCAGTCACCCTAATGTGTAAGTGATGTAACAAATAAAAACATACTTTAAAGTTTACAGCTAAAAATCGTTCACACCTTCGTATAAGACAAGCCAAGACAATTTCTTGTACAGACAAGACAATGCACAAAATGCAATTATTTGAGAAACAAATGTAAACTGATAACAGAATAAATGAAAGACTCTTAATTGCTTAAACAGTGAACCACTTCATAACTTTAAAGGAAACAAGATGCCACATCATCAGAATAACCTCTTTAATTCCTGTTTCTAGAACTTATGTATACGTTCATGCAGCATGATCTACAGAAACTACTGCTTTTGTGCAAGATATTGGACAAGTCTGAAAGAATAGATTAAATAAGGAAGTCCTTACCACTTATTTGCATTTCTAGTATTATGCTTTCATTGTACTCTCAATGTATATATCTCCCCTCCCCCCCCCCAGGAGTTTTCTGGAATTTCATTCCTGTTATTCCATTATCATGCATACAAACAAAACTGTTTGTATGCATGATTTTATATATCATACACTGCATGGTATGCAAGGTTTTAAGACTATAAACTTTGATGTTTTCTAATGAGCAAATGCAAACTAAATAGTGATCATATTTATCAACTGTAAATGAGAGAAATGAACACGGATCATGAAAGAAACTCTACAAACAGTTTAAATTTCATACTGCCATGATATTTTACAAGTGTACATCAGTGCTTCAGCTGTTCCAAATCTGGTCTCAGGAGAATCAAAGCTGGAGTAGACAGGAAGTCTGGATTCAGAATTTTATGAGACTGTACTCCTTATGTGTTACAAAAAAAATATAATATGATACTAATCAATGCATCAGGTTACAATTGGTACTGATGTCTACAACGCTTCCTTCATGAAGTGTACTGTTTAAAACAGAAAGGAAACCCATTTAAACTTGTGTTAAATTTTTCATACGTGAGAAACACCGTTTTGTTTAAATATCTTACCTGGCAGTTTCTTCATCAAATAGATGAGTCCAGTATGGATGATCAATGGGTTTTCCACAAAAAAATCATATTTTATCTGATGAATGACCCAAAGTATTAAGTATCATCTATCTTACAATTACAGTAGTTCTAAACCTCTAAGTTTCTGTGTACTTATATACATTATTTGTGCCACTGTTACATACACAATTCTTGTTGAGCTCAGTGTTGACTCATTTGGAAACTTATTTCAGAACATTGCAGATTTAAAGTTATTGCTGACCTTTCCCAATTGCTTTTATAATTATTATCTCCATTATATTATGATAACAAAGCATAATATAAGTCATGACTTAGGAAGATATTATGGATATTTTTAAAGTCAATAACCCACTTTATTGCACTCGGTAGGTTTGCTTGTGCTGTTACAATTCATGAAATGAAAACGTGCAATTTTTTCTTTTCCACTTCTTTCATCTTCCTGGACACTTAATATTGCCAAGTAATTTGCAAAATATGGCCAATATATGTCTGAATTAAAATATATTTGTTGTACAACCACACCATACAGGATTTCCTGAAAATTCAAATAATTTGTTACCTCCTAATTCAGCTCCAATATTGTAGTTCAGCAATGGACCCCCGACCGCCTGACGAAAATATTAGGTTTCTCTGTAATACACAAATTTATTTTGCATGTTCTTTACTGTTATTCATAAGACTTGTGAAAGGAGGAAGAAACCCTCACATTTAATGCAAAAGCTCAGTTGGATTGGTCATAATGGCTGTGTGGTCAGAAATGTAGGTTTTGGCCACTTGGTTGCTGGAATTATGGGTTTGAATCCAACTTGGGGCATGAATGTTTGTCCTCATCCTTCTTTGTTGTGTTGTCCTGTATTATACTCAAAAAGATTGGGGGCGGGGGGAGAAATAAAGGTAGAACGATACAAACAAAAGGAAAAGGTTGGTCGCATGTTAGCCCGTGGTATGAGCAATACAGGTTTGATTCCCAGTTTGGTTTTTTACTCACCCTACCTATAACGCATCCAGACCAGCTCTAGGGTTCACCCAGCCTCCTATGCAATGAGTATCGGAGTACTTTCCCGAGGGTAAAGCTATACTATTTCTCCCCCCCCAAACACCTGCATGGTGTATAGTGCGGCAGCCTTACTTTACTTCACCATTTTGATGCGGTGGTGTGATCACATCGAAGCGGACCTAACCTTAACTTTTCTTCTGTTATGTCTGTGGGACAGCAAAGTTTAATTTCATTGCGAAGGCTGAGTTCCTCGGAGACATAGATTACTTACTATATTAGGGTTTGAAAATTATTCACGGTATATGTTCAGTCTTTTTGGGGGGATGGAGTATGAATTTTGAAGGTTGAAGAGTAACCTTTTTACCGACTGGGCTACTGTCTCGTCGCATTGTGTTTATTTCTAAATCACTTACAGGGCGCAGCACAATACTCATGGCGCTACGTTAGCCATCAATTGTGTTGAAGTTAGGAATTTGGTATATCCGTGATATCACCCTAGCGTGGATCGTCATTTATAACAAAACTTTAAATCACCATAGATTCGTAGTCACAGATAATTAGAAGTTTTGTCTGCTGACTCTTCTTCGTATATATTCTGAACGTTATGAGCCAACGTTATTGCCAACTGGCCATGAGATTGTTTTGCCGGTAGTTTCATGACATGCTAGTAGATGGCAGAAAATGTACGAGTGTCGTCATAGTTATTTGCATTCTGATGTTCAACATCGAGTTACAAATCTATATGTTCGTATAATCCATGCTCTGGGACCTGTCTCGTTGTCTTTTAGTGGACGGCAATAAACGATGAGGGAACATGATGATGGCTGATCAGTTTCGGAAGGCAGAACAATATTCGCCAAAATCGTCACCCAGAGGGGCTCGGTCCCCTGTTGTTTCACGTCAAGATTCTACAGGAACATTAAAAACGACGATCTCTTTAGGGAAAAACCCATCTATCGTCCATAGCGGACCCTTCTATTTGATGAAGGAGCCGCCAGGTAAGCTATTTAAATGAAAAAGAGGGAAAGGTATGCCCTTATATACACATTTTTTTAATTTATATTTTATGCGGAGTGAGCCATGGGGTAAATTGTTATCTTGAGCTTGTAATGAATAGCATATTGGAGGATTGTCTCCTCATTTCATAACCTGTTTCGGAAGATTGCATGTTTAAAATTAAGACTGACTTTCCCAAGTAGGTTTTCTAGTTGTACTGAGACAACGTATACAAAATTTATTTCCCAGAATGGTATTTAGGTTTACAGTTTCCCTTTGACCCAGGCCATCAGGATAAAATAAAGAGCAAGGGTGAAAGTCATGTTGTTGAACACCCATTTTAAATTAATGTTTACAATGTTAGAGGTGTAGATAAGATAACCTTTTGATTGTACAGTTGTGCTTTGTTAGAAGGAACAAAGGGCGAAGTCACAAATTGTAAAATTGTTAATAGTTATTGACTTCACCCTCTTATTCCATTCTGTCTTAACTCCCATAAAGAAAGATATACATATGAGAGCTTAATAATGGCATTATTGCAGAAGTGCACCTTCCTTTGAACCCACTCTGGTTACTTATGATTTTGTGATGATAATATTTGCATATAGAATATGTTGTGTTATAGTGTGTAATTCTTCATTTTTCAGTGGTTTAATCACATTAGCAATTTGAAATACTTTTAAATGTTCAGGTTACTGTATATATTTTTCTGTACCACACATAATACTGTGGTCTATTGGTTAGCATTCATACTTCATATTCATTAAACTTGGGTCACAGATTTGAATTTTAATCCAGATAGAGGCTATCCTGAATATTACGGTTTTGCTTAATCTCTGGTTTCTTGCATTCATTATGTAGGTATTATTTTAAGTGATTTTCCTTATCTGGGTTGAGTGTTTACAACTGTCAGTTTTGTGCATTTAATTTGTGTTAAAGATATTCGTGATCAGTCCAGAACATTCTGTTTTAACAAGTCATGTTATCATTCACCTGAGACATCATGGTTACTGGGTAGCTCAGGTCATAAGAGGGAACCTATCCATTTGAAAATAATCAAAGAAATAAAACACTTGACTACAAATGACAATAAGGGAGAGGTACTTTTTATTTGGTAAAATGATGTCAGTGTTGACACTAATTGTGATACTGGTGAACCTCTGACATCAATTTGTTGGTGGAACTGGGCAACAAAACAGACCACAGCTCTGAAGGCTTACAGCTCCTACAGACGAGGAGTCGGTCACCATGTTGGGCTGATAGGGAAATGTGTGATTGGTGTTGGAGGACAGAGTGATAATCTTTCCTCTTTACTTGTGTTGTACTTATGTATGGCATATGCATGAATGGAGTATCTGTAGACTTGTTCAAGGCCTGTTTAGTTTTATTAGGGCTGTACCATACCTCACGCTCAATATTATCATAAACCAATTAGGATATCTCTTGGTGTAATTTTCTGACAGTATTAAAATTATCTCTGTTGATGATAAAATGATGATGAATGATGTTAGATACTATGGTACTGAATAAATTATAACACGAAGGGACTAAGAAGGTGTGCAATTGAATGTTACATTGTGAAGGTTTAGCAAGTAGCTTTATTTGCACATCAGAAATTACTGCACTTTGTAATTAAGACTCAAATATTCTATATAGTTACATTCATATATTGAATATATTTAGGTGTAATTGTGTGAGTAAGACCAACCATTATTTTACAAACATTAATGTCCTTTCCCCCTCTTTTTTTGAGTAGAGATGTTATTTCATCAACAGAGAAAAAAGTATGGGAGGATAATATTAAAATGGATCATAAGGTGATAGACTGGGAGGGTGTGGACTGAATTAATCTGGCTCAGAAAGGAAACTGTGGTGGGCTGCTGTCAGTACGTAAATGTGTCAATTTATGTGTTTGATCATATCATGAAATCTAGTCTTTTATATGCAGAAATTACAAGATTGTATGAACATTATGGCTACACAGATAGCTTCATGCATTAATCTGTGTGTGACGGTATAGTAATGACACAAAAGTACAGTTTCAGTTTTATTGAATTTGGCCATTTTTTATTAGTTTATATGCCTGGACTACATAGTTACAGTTGTGTATATACTTAGTACCAAGAATAAACTATATTTCTGAAACATTTCCAATTGTCAAAATAAAAACTAAAACAGGTATGTAAAAAAATGTATGACATTTCAGAGGCTAACTCTTCTTCATTGAATGGAAAGGCTTTAAGTTCTAGGTTAATGGTTGTAGTATTATGCATGACGAGTTGAACTGTGCATAAGCTCTTACACATGTACAGTAAAGTTCATTCTTTTAATTTTTAATTTAGAAGTGACTATAGGATTTCTGCAGCTTTCCATGCTTTTTTATATGGAAAGGACCTCCTCTTATTTAATTTCATGCAACTTAGAGGAAAATTTAAATGCATGAAATTATGTATGTTAAATGTATGATTTGAGGTTTTCATAGCAGTGAGTATGAAGATTTCTGTCTTCTGGGTTGTTGCGCCATGTAGTCTGGTCGATGTTTACCAACGTTTCAGAGGTCATACTGCCTCCGTCATCAGGGCGATTCATGACCTCGGAAACATTGGTAAACATCGACCAGACTACACGGCGTAACAACCCAGAAGACAGAAATCTTCATGTATGTAAAATGTTTGAATGATTGGTGCAGGAATAATTGTTTTGTAAATAATAAGTCTGGAACTACTGTGCCCATTACCTGCTTTTGTTGATATTTGATGCAGTTTTCTTCATTCTTTTTACAGATGTAAAAGATTTAACTGGAGCCACAAATTTGATGGAACATTATCGTTTGGAACATTCATATAACAAATTCAGTGGTAAGAAAGTAAAGGAACAGCTGTCATCTTTCCTTCCATATTTACCTGGAATGATTGACACCCCTGGTCATCAGGATAATAGTTCCCTCCGTTCTGTAATTGAGAAACCTCCTATTGGTGGTAAAGAATTGCTTCCCCTAACTAGTGTACAACTGGCTGGATTCAGACTTCATCCAGGACCACTTCCAGAACAGTATCGCTGTGTGAACCAAACACCGCAAAGAAAACACAAAAATAAACATAAGAAGCATAAACACAAAGCTGGAGAGACGCCAAGTCAAGAAACACAGGTCACTGAGGTGGGACAAGATACGCACGAGAAGAAGCACAAGAAACAGAAGCGTCACGATGAAGAAAAGGAACGTAAGAAAAGAAAGAAAGAAAAGAAAAGGAAAAAGCAGAAACATAGTCCTGAACATTCTGGTGGACTTACGCCAAGTCAGCATTCTAGTGGTTAAGTTTACATTATTTTAAGTGTACATATTGGATAAAAATTCTTGTAAAGTACAACACTGCCTCAAATATGAGTTAAAAAGACCACTTGGTACAATATTCTTGCATCATATACTCTAAGCCATTTGCTCTAGAAAGGTGTATTATGTAAATAAATATATTTTTAAGCAGATTTTACCTTATCCTGAATGTGAAATATATGTACAATGTAAACTAATGTCCTTAGGTTTAATGAAATATGTTATTGTACTGTAAATTTATGGTGCAAAATGTTGTAAATGCAGACTAAATTAGTTAATATTTGTTATTAGTTTTAATTGTGGAACTTCACACATTGTTCAAATGAGCAGACCTAGCAGAATATCTGATTAGTTATTTGTAACATTAAATTTAACTGAACAAAATATGTAAAGGTATGGAAAGAAGTGTCAGTTTAGTATGAAAGGAAATGGTTTATCATTAGCATTGATAAATTCCTAGTCATGCTTGTTTTATAATGCTGTATGTTGGGAAAGGTGAGGCAATTTCATGTGCAGCTGACATGTTATACAACATGATCATCTTTCACTCTGCGTGAATCTGTTTTGGAAATGGATAATCCATTAATTAAATGTGATATTGGAGAGGTTTTTTTTTTTCAATTTTCATTCAGACCAGACAATTTTAAATACCACTTCTTAGACGAACATGAAATGTAAATTGCATAAATGGATTTTTGCTTACTTTAATAAGCATTTACTACAGTTGATCATTATGATCAAAGGTGGCACCATGCACAGTCCAGTTCAATTTTCATCCTCCATTGGCAACACCTTACTCTGAAAAACAATTATATCTATTTCTGTGCTTAGATGGGCAACAGATAGGCTTGGATACAGTTTTATTTGTTATCATATTGTCTTTCATTTTTGAATTTTGTCCCGTCTGACACTTGGCTTGTGCAGCAGTGATATATAATAGAAGCCCATAGGCAGTAGACCTACTGTGAACCTGAGTAATTGAAGACGTAAATGATGGATTCTTCTGTCTCCACACTGAAATGAGACAGTGGATGGGAACAGAAGAGTATAATCATCATATGAAGTAAAGTAAAGTAAAGTAAAGTTTGTCCCACTATACGCCATGTAGGCGTTTGGGGTGAGAGGAGGTATAGCTCCTCTCTTCCTTGACCTCGGCACTAGATGGGGGTGAGTGGTCAGCATCACGCCCCGGCCGTGCTTTACCCCCGGGAAAGGACCCCGGTACCCATTGTATAGGAGGCTGGGTGGGCCCCAGAGCCGGTCTGGACGCAGAGGCTAGAGGAAAAATCCTCTGCCCCCGTCGGGGATCGAACCCCAGCCGTCCAGCCCGTAGCTAGTCACTAAACTGACTGAGCTATCCCGGCTCTATGATCACTTGTTATATGGTTTCCTATATGTTCTTTAACGTCAGCCACATGATCCAAGTGTTTGTTAAAGGTGCCTGTAGAATCCCACATAACAATGGATCACATGATGATCAAACACTTCTGTGTCTCTTACTTCTCATGTCAGTGAATAGACAGTGGAAATGCAGCAAGTTATATGGCTGGTTGAGACCAGGAACAGTGTTGGTGTTAACCATGTTAGCCCATTAAACACTTAAGAATAAAAAAGTCTTTTACAGCAGAACTGATCAGATTAGTTCTGTAAATTTGTAGTATCGATAAGATAATTATTAACTAGGGTTTCTTGCTGCTGATGAGAGGTTATCCCGTCAGGCAACTTGCCCTCCGTGCATAGGATTTTGATTGGATGGTTCTCTGGGTTTTGAACCCAGAGGGGGTATGTGTCTGATATTTCACCAGTGTTGTCCATTTATAGGCACTAATGTCAGTGAATGGTTTTCAATAGAGCTAATAGATGGTGTGAAGAGCATTTCACCTGCTCATGCACATGTAATATGCAGATCTGCTGCACGTATCATGGACGCAATAAGTTGGAGCAGTTTAAAATGAATTTCGTGCCCTAACCATTGATTATTTAAATTTTGCCTTGGAATATGCCATCAGGAAAATCCAAGAAAATGTGTGTGGTTTGGAATTGAATGGGACACATCAGCTTTTGGTCTTTGCTGCTGATATTAATCTGTTGGGCAATAATATAAATACTTTAAAAGCAAACACAGAAACTCTTCAAAGCTAGTAGGATTAGAAATAAATTCGCAAAAGACAAAGTACATGATCATGTCTCGGCATCAAAATTCATGACAACCAGAATATGATGATAGCTGAAGAATCCCGTCTCATAAAAAAGCTAAAGGTTAAAATATACAAAAGTGTAGTTTTGCCAGTTGTGCTGTATGGGTGCGAAACTTGGTCTCTCGCTTTCAGGGAGGAACATAGATTAAGGGTCTTTGAGATCAGAGTGTTGAGGAAGACCTGAAAGGTAGGTAGACGAATCATGGAGAAAATTGCATGATGAGCTTCACGGCCTGTACTCCCTACCTGATATTTTTAGGGTGATTAAATCTGGGATGACGTGGGCTGGACATGCTGAACGCATCTGGAGGGAAGAGGTATTGGTTGGGAGGCATGAAAGGAGGAGACCTAGACGCTGAGGGAGGATAACATTAAGATGGGCCTTGGGGAAATGGGCATCGGAGCGAACTGGATGCAGCTAGCTCCGAATAGAGTCAGGTAACGGGATTTTGTGAACACAGTGATGAACATTCGAAAAATATTTTTGCGGCCGTTTGGACTTATTTTGCAAGTATACACTTTGTATTTTATAACAAACTGGCTAGTGATCGTGTAAAGACAGCTGCCGTTAAATAAAAGTATTAATAATAATTCAGTACACTTTATTGTGGATGAAAGAAACACGTGACCACTCATTCATACATACATCTTTATTTCATTCCATGGAACCACAAGTTAGTAAGATGACAATGAGATATGGAATAGTAGAATACAAACAAACACAACACACTATCATAAAGATTTCACATAATGCATTTAAAAGGCTCACAAAGTACTGATATGTTACAAATAAATTCACCCATTACATGCAGTAGCATATAGGACCATGGTTACACTTATGTTAATCTCAACTTCTGTAAAAACGTGTTCAGTGATTTGGTCCACATTGGTTTTTTTGCTAAAAAATACTATATTAATGCAATGTCGTGGGATCAATTACAGACTCTCGTCAGATATTTCCTCATTTAGGCATTGCTCATCTGGAATACAAATGACGTGTAACAACTTTTGTTATTCGTCTAAATATTTTGATTCTTTGTCGTGTTTGTATTTTGAACGAAATTTCTTTCTCTGAACTCTAATAATATAAACCAGTTGTGTTTCTTATATTAATAATTTCAGTTCCCTGTTGATTTCATCAGGCGTTCTCTAGCGCAGCTACCTGGATGGAATTCAACACGTGCTACTTAGTACGATCAGGATCGATAGCATTTATTCATTGATATTTTTTAACGGCGCTTTATGTACTTAGTCTTCTATTTTCGGATGTGAGGATGACAGTGAGTTATGGAACGTATGTGGAAGGTAGCGATCGTGGCCCCAGAAATTTTCCTGGTAGGACTGAGGAAAACCACGAAAAACTTTAGTCAAGATAACCGATCTCCGAGCCTAGCATTTCGCACGTAGTTTTAGCACAATTTGTTCATTCTAATTTTGAGAAGGAGAGTCTTTTTTATTTTATTTTTAAAACTGCACCCCTCGCTACGTCCGAAGCCTGCACGCAAGTAACATTGAATGTCACGCAGTAGAGGTCGCGCGAGTAGTGGTGGCACCTAAATGCGCGATGTGTAAGCCGAGAGAGGCGATTTCAGTGGTAGTGGGGGTCGCACAGCCTCAGCTGCGGTGACGTACCGAACTAAACACAGCTAGAACTACAAACCAACCGAATCTGACACCCCTCTAGCGCGTGCTTCGGACGAGTTCATCTCAAACGATCGAAATTAGTCCTTTCCGCAAGTGCCAGCACTTCTCGCGTGACCTCGACCTTCGCCCTGAATATCTGTACTGAATCATGTATCTTCTAAGTGCGCCTGATCAAACAGAAGGCCCACGTTAGATCAGGAACAGGTAGCTAACAGCGACTTCCTGGCTGGAGCTGCTAAAGGTATACTTAAGTTCTTGCTTTCTTTATAATGTTCACTTCAGGTAATCAACTCTCAGGGAATGTAATGATGAATAATTCCACGTTATTATCGAAGTATATTGGCCGAAACCAAGGGTTACACGGGGTTAGAAGGGGACGATGGACCTTCTGAAATTACAGATATCGAAAGGAACGACTCCCTGTATTCATTCCAAGGAACAAAGTCCTTCCTGGGGAGCTGTTATTCAAGTTTCCCACATCTCATGGAAGAGGTCGTCACTGGGTCTGCTTCCTGCATAGCAAATATAACTGCGCGTGATTAGCTGCATGCCGGATTAAGATACTTATCTTCCTTTAGCACGTGTTATGGCGTCGAATGCAGTGAACCTGTACGACACGCGGTTAAATTCTCTCATCAACTTGCCGACAGAAATTAAAATTCTTAGATATTTCTGAACTAAAAACACGCTGATTGTAACTTCAAATGAAAATACCGCTAGCATCGGACAAAGATTTCAGTGTCTGATGATTTATGTGACCAAAAGTCTAATAGATAAAGTAAAGATTTGACTGTGGAGTCGTAATTATATTCTCTTTGTCAGAGTTGTCTTGACATTCATTATAGATTGGTATACTAGTCATATATGAGTAGTGAAATAGGCTCGTTGAAATTCAATTGAATTGAATGATTTCTTTCATAACTTCATCTCTTACTCCCGTTCCTCTTTGCCTATTTTCCCCCTTAAGTAATTCTGAATACTCTAAAACCTTTTCAAATTCCCGGTGATAACGAAATGTGCCACCCTATTTAACAATCAGTAACTATATATTTTGTCTACAGAGTGTTCTGGTGCATTTGAAATGGTTATCAGAATAAACAGCGATTATTTCTTCCCCAGAAATGAAGTCTCTCTGCGCTTTAATTTTTCTATTGTCATTCTAATTTTCCTCTGTTCCCACTTATTCGGCATCAAAGAACTAACCAAACCACACTCTTCAAGGTTACAGCACAACTTTGGAACAAGAATAGCTGAGCTCGGACGAGTGAAGACAGTTCAGAATTCGCAGTGTAGCAAAATTAGCCGCGCGATAAGGAAAACGAAGTCCTTCCGTGGCCTTGAAGCATGTAGTTTAATGACGTCTGCTACAGTAATACTTACAGAATACCATCAAACCTGAACATCGTCAGTCATGCACATTTCAGACGTAGTCATAAAAGGTATATCATCATGCAGCACAGATTAAGATGCATTCCCATGGGTTTTGGTTAAAAAATTATTCCTTTCTTTTAGCATAACCGCCCAGAGAGATAAGACTATCTTCGTAACGATGTCTGTCGTATCTGGGGTGATGTCGCAAACAACAGCAGTGACCCTAACGTCAAGAAGCCTCATGCCAACTCCCTGGTATACCAAGATTTAACTGTCTCCAGCCGTCGAAAACTTACAATGACGTAATAAATCTTCATTATATTTGTGCTCACTTCTTGTTTTACAGTAATAAAGAACTTATTTCAGAATTTTCAGAACTTCTAGGTAGAAACCACAAAAGGGAAATAGGATTTAACTGATGGGGTAAGAAGCTTATGCATCTTCCCCTCCCCACCATTACTAAAGGACCAAGGACAAAATCACATTCGTCTCTCGATTTCCCCATGAGGTTTTGGAAAAATACGCAATTGAAATTAACTTCGTTCAACTTTTCCAGGCTCAATAGACTTATTTTCATGTTCCAGTAAACAAGGTTATTTTCCTTTAGCTAATATTACCAGAATATGTCCCAACGGCTGCTTAATAGTATTAATTGTGCTGGCACTATTAAATATCTAGGACATCTTGGCTAAAGACAATTTTCAACAAGTAGACTACTTTGCAATTCTACATCTAATTCTACATTTTCGCAATTCCAGAAGTTCTTGAATCATATTCGAGTTATTAGCTTGTCTTCATCATCAACTGGCAGTCTTCTGATGCTGTATATTACTTTGGTCAGATCTAAATTTAAATTTGCCTCCGTTTCACGGAGCGATTCTACTGCCGTCATGAAGTTGGAGCACATTCAACGGAAGAATTTATCCCTGTGTTACAATAATTTATTTTCTATATTCATTACAGTTGTGGGAATACTTTAGATCAGCTAAATTTTTAAAATTTATAAACTAGGAGGCGCCACTTAAATGTACTTGTTCTTGTAATACTTACAGTGTTTTAAAATATTATCATTCGTTACCTGAAACTATTAGAATTTGCTCTCTCACTACAAATTTTTTGAGATTCTCCTCTGTTTGCTGTTTTTTACTCACGTCAAACTTGTTCATCAGATGTGAAGATCGTTTGTAAACATTCTTATTTAGTAAACATTTGTGTATTAATTTTTCTTAAAGTTATAATGCGATATAATTGAATTTTTTATTATTGTTTTGTTTATATTTGTTTCTTTTGTGCTGCATCTATTACTAGTCGTTTAGCTGTTGATACAGAACACTAAAGCAAGAAACTGAATTATTATTGTTCGTAATATAAGCTGATAATAATAGAACTAATAATAAGTTTATAAATATTAGTGGCATTTATTTGCATGTTCAGCTGAGACAGTATCGAGTAAAAGAATAAACAGGTGAACAGGAGCAGGGCATAGTTGTAATTTTTTCTGAAGAACGTGCAGTATTATAGCCGACTGCTGGCACACGGTACAGACACACATTTCAAATGAAGTCCATTATACAGTATTCTAATAATAGAAAATTTTAAGATGCCAGTGCACGCACTGACTGAAGAAAGCCACAACAATTCGTGCATGCTAATCCAAACATTATTATTAACATATACAAACACATCAGAACGACGGATTTTTCTGTTTTGCTTTACCAGACAAATGCACACCCGCCCCATTTTTTCAAGAATTAATAGTATTATTTTTAATTACAGCGTTTGCTTATTTAGACGAAAATTTCCCTCTTGATCCGACAAAACACAATCGTTTCTGTCGTATTTCCCACGACTAATCGCCAAAGAAAGGTAGGAAAAATTTGTCTAGCACAGTCACAGATAACTGGGCGGCTCCAAGCGTGGTTGAGTACCATCCCGTCAAATCACTGATCGACTAGCGCTGGTGTTTGTCTTTCACCGCGACTTTATCCTACATCGATTTATTGCCATTTCCCCTGCACACTCAATAATATTTTCTTGCATCCCTGTTCTAAATGAGCGAAGAGCTGACTGAACACCGCAACTAATCAAGGAGGACCGAAGAATGTACACAACTGCTATTCAAAAAAATGCAGCTCGTCCCTGAGAGTAAAACTATGGCCACACGAAGACTGACTTTCAGAAATTTCTCTTACGACCATTTACCAAAAGTTATTTTCCGATACGCGAACAATCAGATTAATTAAAATTAATTTGATTGATTGATTGATTGATTAACACCTGTTCACAGAGTCAGCGTAGCACCGAAGGCGAAGGAATAGGCATATTTTACACACATATTTTTATTTTTGGTCTTTTGTTCAATGAAAGTTAACTTTTGTTTTTGTTTGCATGCCACCATCAAATGGCAGTCAGCCAAGAAGGTTATGGAACAGTTTAAATAACTGCAGCTCATTGTCATTTACATGCTAGCGTTCGTGAAGCAGGTACATGACCACCGATAAACTCATTATTTTTCAGGAAAAATGTATCATCAGAAGGTGTTAAAATACTTGAACGGCGATCCTCAATCCGCTGCCGGGGGCACAAGCGGTTCGTCAATGTCTTTTGTGCTGCCCGCGTACATTTTAAACTTCTGTAATATTGTAACATTCTGTGTAATTAAAAATATTGTGTCGCCTGAATTAAATATTCCACAAATCTGTTAAATGAAATTAAAGAGTGTACTTGTAGATTTGTTGCATTTTAATACATCGTTATGACAAACTAATTGTAATTTGTAACCTGCTGGCCCTCCAGTTAATAATAAAGGGTGAATGTGGCCCTAGGTCTTTCAGTGTTCTGTCCCATCACCAATATTGTTGTCTTCTACTTGTAAGGACACCACAAGCTCCGCAATTGCTGTGACCGGGTGACGCCATATTTTTGTTGTTGTTTCTCTGTTTCTTGTTTTGAGGTTTGCAAAATCACTGACTGTTTTTGTCAAAGTTTGTGGGAGTTTCGTGCTGTTAATTGCGACAATATTTTGAGAATGTTAAGCTGTTTGTAAAAGGCAGGCGGCGTTGAGCGGTGGTGGAATGTCTTGTCGAGAGGGGCAGCATTTGGCTCACCCAGGCATTTAGGCTCTGCTGTTTCCCAAGTACTACAAAATAAGCACTTTGCTCCTTCCCCCACTAACCGCAAATACCAAACCATCATCGACTTCAACACATGAACTTCATGCAAATCACTTTCATGACGTCATACAAGTAAACTCATCGGAACGAGGGTGAGGCAAGATGGCGACTGCAATGTGGTCGTGTTCGTGTTGTCTTCGGTTTAAATTTAGTCCAGAAGAATTAGAGCAAAGACACAAGAGTCAAGAAATTGACAGATTGATAGAAAAAGATAAACAATCTTTACGAAGGCAAGTGAAATTGTTATTACTTGGTGCTGGTGAGAGTGGAAAATCAACGTTTCTGAAGCAAATGCGAATTATCCATGGTATTAAGTTCGAACCTGAACTTGTGAAAGAATACCAACATGTGATTTATCAAAACATTGTGAAAGGCATGAAGGTGTTAGTAGATGCTAGGGACAAACTCAACATTCCGTGGGAAAATTCAAATAATTCTGGCCATGGTCATCACATCCTTAAGTATGAAAACAGGATGATGTTGGATGATAGACTTTTCTTGCATTATGCCCCCTCGTTGCAAAGTTTGTGGAAGGATTCTGGTATTAGGAAAGCATTTGATAGAAGACGAGAGTTTCAGTTGGTAAGTTGTGTATTTTCTTAGATAGATTCTAATTTTTCTGTTTTTAAGTTTTCATAATTGCATGTCAAATTAAATAGGTTAGCAACATTTGTTGTGAAAGGAATGTGCTATTTGTATCTTTTGATTTCTTATTATAGACATCCGTTTTCGTTTCATATTGATAGTGATACTATTGGCAGTGAGATGTAAAATGAGATTGTGGCTAACCCCCCATGTTTCTGCCTTTGTCTCTGTGTCATCTCTAATTTCTATGCTACTTATGATCAGTACAGCTCTCGCCCCATTTGATGATTCCTTCAAACCATGATAGCTCAGGAAATATTCCATCTAGAGAATTCTTCCTTTTACATTTTAATTTTGTTTTGAGGATTTTTACCCTTCTTATTATTATGTGCCATTTTTACCACATCTGTATAATTTGTAAACAGACAAAAGTTGTGTAGCTGCTTTTAAAGATTAATGAATATTTGACAGTACATAATAGGATGGACTGTCATTCATTTGTGGTTAGATATGGTGTAGCTTTCTAAATGAAAGTTACAGATTCTTCACTTGTGTTGCAGGAAGGAAAATTCTGGCCATCACATATGTAGTTAATGCATGAAGAAGAAATCCTTACCTCAGGTACTGAGTGAAGATTGTTTGAGAATAAATTTGTTAATGTCTGTGCTTACTGTGGTTTTAGAGCAGCTGTAATACCATTCAATATTTTAACATTGTCTTACAGTGAGGTAACAAATTCTTTTACATTATTGTATTCATTTTCCTGAGAATGATTTGAATTTTTAGCATATTAGTGCAGCACTAAACATAGCAAACATTTCTGCACCAAAACTGTAGATGCAGTTACTTGTGTCAGTTGTGCTATTTTAGTTGTATTATGCTCCTTCCACAACACTGAAAGCCTTTTTTCATTTTCCATTGAACAGAACATTGAAGTTGACGATGGCTCTGTTTTAGGTTGTTGCACGATGTAGTCTGGTAGAACTTTGCAGACATTTCAGGGTGATGATCCTGATAATGGAGGCAGGAAGTACCTGTCAGTAAACTTCTACCAGAGTGCATGGCTTAACAACCCAGAAGACAGCCATCTTCATACTCACTGCTGTGAGAACCTGAAATCTCATGTTTGAAATAAGCTACACATGTTTGAGTTGCTAATTGAAATTCTAAATGAAACTGTCTTACAAGGGATATGTTTGTTAAGAGAGGCCAACTGTTTTTGGTTGTATAAGATGGACCTGTCTGAAGCACGCGCTAGGGAGGATGTCGGCTTCAGTTGGTTTGTAGCTATAGCTGTGTTTGGATCGGTATGTCACCGCAGCTGAGGCTGTACGACCCCCATTACTACTGAACTTCCCTCTCTCGGCTTACACATCGGTCATTTTGGTGCCACGACTACTCGCGCGAACTATATGAAAGAATAGTTCTAAGCTTGCTTACACAAACTTGTCTGTTTCCTGTTTAAATTAATATGTATTAATATTTATTTATAGATACTTTTATTTTCATAAATCTGTGATAACATGTTACCAGTGTATATTGTTGTTTAGGTTTCTAAAAAATTTGTACTTCCTGTTTTTATCATCTCAACTTCATAGTTTGAAAAGTTTCAAGTTGACGTTTCTGTCTGTTTCAGAGTGATTCAGTACAATATTTTTTCAATGACCTGGAGAGGATAGCAAGAACAGTGAGTAGACACAGAACCATTTACTCTGCCTGTAACTGGAACATGAATCTGTCTTTGAAATTTAAAGGAAATATAACTGAATCAATGATTTCAGAAACAAATAAGCCAGGAATCACAAGTTTTTGAGGAGGCAAAGAAAACCGTTCATTACATTAATATAAAGTACTCTTTTAAATGCAGGGAATTCTGTTCATGTTTATTGAAATTTTAATCTTTTATAAGAAACAGTTTTTAATTCTGACTTTTGTTATTTCTCCATGAACAGACTCATTCCTTATGCTATTATTGTTATTTATTGCTTAGTTATGTCATTGTTAGTGAGATTAATTTTATGTGCATAATTTGGTGGCATACAAGTTCTGTGTTATGTATGTAATCTACATTAGAATAATATGGCATATTGCTGTAGTAACACAAAACAAGCAAGTAAAAAAGTAAAAGGATATGTATGTAATAAATTAAATATGACTCTTAGGTAGTCATAACAAATTTCATGCAAGTAGTACAGTAAATCCTTGTTCAGTGCAGGGAATATGCCCCTCAAAAGTGGCACATTTGGTAAATCTGTTTTTGGACATACTTAATATTGTACAGGATTACTAGAATGCAGTCATGGAAGGTCAAAGCAAATAAATAATAAATTCATAATATACTGTAGTGATATTTAATGAAAAAAGTATGTAAAGTATCATCAGAAAGTTAAGTATTAAAGTAAAATATGAATGGAATGTTTGGTATTAAACTAAAGTATTACAACACAGTTAGGCATCACATTCCATCATAATGGATGTTGATAGTTTGGGATGAG